TGGGGAGGGGCTTGTGGAGAAGTGGCCAGTGCAGAGGAGGCTTCCTGGGGGCCAGTGTGGGCTGGGTCATTGGAGAGACCTACGTGTGGCTCTGGTTTGGGGTCCTGGGTCCTGGAGGCGATGATGGGTGAGTGGGGGGGTTGGGGTCTAGTTTGACTCCCAGGGTCCAGGTGCTGCTCCAGGCCGCCCCCCAGGCTGCCAGAGACCCCAGGCCCATCTCCCACAGTGTGCTGCATGGGGCCACTTGTGGTGCCCTTGTCCATGAGGCGCCTCCCCTGTGAGCCTCTTTAGGACAGACCCTGTGGCGTGAGGGTTGAAGGTGTTGACCCCTTGCTGCCTTGCGTCCCTGCCCTGCAGCGTCACGGGGTTCTTCTCCCTGGGGCGCCCATGCCCCCAGCTCAGGGGAACGTCCTGGCCAGCAGATGGGAAGAGTGGAGAGTGGGGGAGGGGTGGGCCGGGGGTGGGCCAGGCAGTGACGTCGGTGGGCAAGGGCCTCATAAGCTGCGGCCTCCCTGTGGCTGCAGCAGGACCTGGCTGGACGGGAGTGCGCGAGACCGAGGGCTCTCGGACGGGAGCAGGTTGGTGACTCATCTGGGGGCCGGGGCCACCGGGGATGTGCCCAGGTCTGTGATCTGAGGATGACCTTGACCTCCTAGAAAGGTTAGGGGGGAGTGGAGCTCCTGGGGAGGGGGCAGCAGGACCAGAGGCACAGTCAGAGTGGGGCTGGGGTCTGACCCCCGGGCTACGGGGCAGAGAGGAGTCCTGCTCCCAGCACTGGCCTCCATGTCCCTGGAAGGGGTCTCACCGGGTTTCTGGGGAGAGGAGGGGTCTGGCTTCAGAATGTGAATCAGGAGGGCCAAGGACCTGGGGTGCCCAGAGAGCCCCTCCACAGCCCTGAGGACCCCCACAACCTTGGCTGCCCTGGGGGTGTCCGGGGCCCTGAGAGCCTGCGCTGCGTGTCCCTTCTGCTGTCAGCAGAGGCGCAGAGGCCCTGAGGTCCCAACCCCGCTTCAGGGCTTCTCCCCACCACTCGCTGGTAGGCCGGCTCTGGGGCCAGCACGCTGGGGGTCCTGCTCAAACTGGAGTCCCAGTCCCTGCCTCGGTTTCCTCCCCAGACCCCCAACCCTGACAGTGCCCACCGTAGTCTGGTCTAATGACAATTAAGTGACCAGAGCGGCAACCAGGGCCCCTTGTTGGCCCGTAGAGAACGTCCCAGGGCACGACACAGAAACTGACTGGGCTGCCCTGTCTCGGGGGGCAGGAGGGCAGCTGACCTCTCAATCCAGGAAGCTCCTGCCCAGGTGGACAGCAGGGCTGGTGGCTGCAGGCCCTGAGGCATGGGCTGAGCCTCCCTGCCCACAGGGCCGCAGGTGAAGATGCTCTGGCTTCAAGGTCAGGAGGCGATGGACAGATGGGTGGACAAATGGAGGGACCAACGGATAGCTGAGCAGCCTTTCTTCTTCCCGCAGGCCACGCACCATGAGTGACTGTGTGCACCCCTCCCTCGGGGTCAGCCTCTGGCTGTTGCTGGGGGCTGCCATGGGACTTGGCCAGGGTCAAGGTAAGGACACGGGCAGGGGGCTTCCTGGGACTGTGGACCCCACCAGACACCCACCTGCCCGCCCAGCCCCCCACCCCAGCTGACCCGCAGGGCGCTCCTGCTCGGGGCGGAGGCCCCACAGTGGGACTGGCTTCCCTCTGTCCTGAGTCCCTGGCAGGGACAGGTGCCCTGCGAGCAGAGCCAGGAGGCAGGACGGCCCCTCTGCCCACAGCCCCACCCTCAGCTGTGGCTTGACCTTTGGCTTGGGGCTTTTTTGTGTTTTCCGTTTTGTTTTTTAACAGTTATCAACACACTGTGCATTTAATGCCCTCTTACATGATTTTTTTTGGAAAGTCATTCCACAGACATGTTTTCAAAGTGAGATTTTCAAACA